TAACAGACCACATAACTCTGTTGATTTTGCACTTACTGTTGTTCTTGATCCTGCTTATATACCTCACGTTAACGCTGCTGGTGGTGCTGCGTGGTTGCCCTATTGTGTTTCTGTGAGGTTGAGATATTTATTTGGTGAAAACTCAACTGTGTCTTTTCTGGGAATGGAAGGAAGCCATGGAGGTCGAGCCTGCTGGCTGCGTCCTGATGACTGGGAGAAATGCAAGCAGAGGGTGGCACGTATGGTTGAAACTAATGGGTGTCCTGCTGGAGATGCTACTCAAGGAAGGCTAAGAATGGTTGCAGATTGTGTACAAAAAACACTCAATCTGAACCTTCAAAGTTTAAGAGAAAGTAATGTTGGTGTCACCGCAAGCTCTGGATGATCTTTAATGGGTTGTCTTCCAGTAGGATCAATTTTGCAAAGACTAGGGGGCAGATTTTAGAATGTCATGGGAATAGATTTTATAAAGCTCTGCATCTTTTCCATTTTTAGGTTCTATAATCTTGTAGCTGATGGCAACAGATGATATTCTGCAATGATACAGGGCAAGTTCGTGGAGGAAACTGGAGGAGTGGGTGTTGGCTCCTTTACTCCATTGATGGTTTACCTAAGCTAATGTTCTAATAGTTAGGGTATGAACATAAGGGAATTGTATGGGTGGTTTTTCCTTTGTACAGATCATTTGATTAATGCTTTTGTAAAAAAGGGGAAAAAAATAGTTTGACTGTTATAGTATATCTTGATAATTGCTTGAGAAGGCAAGATTTGTATTTCTTTTCTTGTTATGAAGCTGTTGAAGAATAGTTAGCAGTTGAATTTTAGTCATAATTTGGTAGAAGTTCATATGTTTGCTTGAAGTCAGTAGAATGCTTTTACTCTCTCACTCTTGAAGGGTGTTTGTCTCAATTTAAAGTGTAAGACTTTATGCTGGAGATTCTTAAAATGAAGAAATTGAACATGATAAAATTAATTAGGATAGTTCAAGATAAGATATGGTGATATATTTGGAAGATATAATATTGGATTTATCAAATCTTGTTTTGTTAAATGCTTAGCAACCAAATTTTGTTTTGTCAAATTTTAACAAAAATATTAGACTGTTCATACAAGAAAATATTCACACAAAAAGAATTATGTATGAAACCTGACTATGTCCAAGATTCTTACCTAATTTGAAGTTGCAAGATTGAAGCTTATATTATAGTTTTCTATAATTGGTAAGAGTCAACATGTTTCCAGCAACAGTTGCAATAAGTCCTAAGGAAAATTTGCTGCATGTTCATCATATCATGCAGATTGTTCAATGCGTACTTAATATCCCGCCATTCCGGATGCTGATTATCTGCAGCCACAAAGTTGTGAATAGCTCCATCAACAACCAAGCTACTGCAGCCAGCAGTCTTCTTTACTCTACTGCGAACCATTAATTCTCTAATCTTGTCAGAATAGCTCCAATTCCCTTTTGAAGCATACATATTGGATAACAATATGTATCCTCCTTCCTTCTCGGGTTCCAGTTTCAGCAACTCTGTCAAGGCGGTCTCTGCCATTTCCAGATTTCCATGAGCCCGGCAGGCACTCAGGATAGTTCCCCAGATTGACCTACTTGGCTTCATTGGCATCTTCTCCACAACATCTTTTGCCTCAGCTAACCTTCCTGACCGGCCTAAAAGATCCACCAAGCATCCATAGTGCTTGATTTCTGGCTGAATACCATAATTTTTGTTCATAGTATTGAATATTTTAAGCCCAAGATCCAAAAGTCCGCTGTGACTACAAGCCGTAAGAATGGCTACAAGAGTCACATTATTTGGCATTACATGTTTCTGCATCTCAGCGAACAGTTCTAATGCTTTGTTTCCATAGCCATGGAATGCGAAACCAGTTATCATGGCTGTCCATACAGTGACATCCTTCTCAGTAAGAGACTTGAAGACCATGAAAGCTCTCTCAATGCTTCCACACTTGCAGTACATGTCTATCAATGCTGCACCTAGAAATGCATCTACTTCTATACTCATTCTAACTATCCAGCCATGTATTCTTCGCCCTTCATCAAGTGCTCCAGCTTCTGCCACAGCAGAGACCAAGTTGACCATTGTGAGATTATCTGGCATTATGTTCTCCGCAACCATGTTATTAAACAAGTCTCTTACAATCATATAATCACCCAGTCTGTGCATGCCCAGCCA